ATAATTCATATAAAGAAGGGATCAAATATTCAACCTCAAGCTTGGACTTCGTTTAGAACCATGTTTCAAGAGGATATATATATATTTCACCATGACATTTCTTGGTTGTAAGATACTCATCTCGCTAAGATATAGGACTATGATCAAGATTAAAAAACTGAGTATGGAAGAAATGCTCATCAATTGCAAGCGGTAATATAGATGATAGATGGTAAACATGGTAATGAATGAGGTATGTATAGAGACAAGATGAAAAAAGAATGGAAGGTGATATCACACAAGAAGATGCATCTAAAGGCGGGAAGATCAAGAAATGCCCAGCCGCCATTTTCAAGCACGCTAAAAAATCGTCAAAAAAAAAAGTAACTCCCAAGCCACAGCGCGCATGTCCGATCTAAGATTGTCGAGAAGGGAGGTAAAAATATAGAAGAATTGTAACGTCATATCAACTCTGTGACGCTTTCGTTGATTTTTTTTTTTTATTTTTTTTTTTTGGTTTCTTTTTTTTTAATATGCCATTCCGTATCCCGGAGCTGTGGGACGACGGCCTTCGATAGAGCTTCGCGAGTTGTGGCTGTCGGGGCTCATGCTGCGCCCGTGAGCGACGCCGTAGTCATTGTGAACTAGGCCATCCCGTTCGTTGCTGCCAGGCGATCTGGCTCGCTTGGGCTCGTCTCGGTAAGACTCGTAAGGGCCGGTGAAGTTGAAGTTGCTCATCTCAGCGTATTGCTTGCGCTGTGGGTGGTCCATCAAGAGGGAGTCACGGGCGTCTAAAGGAGTCAGGTCGTCGAGGTCACGGTTTGCTTTTTCTATAAGAAAGGAATCCGTTAGTATGTGCACATGTTGGGATAAGGGCTTGGATCACAAGGTAGCTTTGACTTACCAGCTTCTCTTCTCCGCTTAGCATGCGGGTTCTCGCGGTAACAGCTGATGAAGGCGTTGACTGCGATGAGAATGGCGAGGACGGCAGTGAGAGTGGACTGCACGACAATGAGGACAATTCCAGTGACGGTCTTTGTTGTTTGGGAAAGACCGAGTTCTTCGACGAAGACTAGGACGCAAGCAATGGACAGAACACGGACGACTTGGACGGCGATGTTGATTCCCATTGACGCCTTGGTGGCATACGGACGACTCCACACTAGGAGTCCCAGCAGAAGGATTTCGCAGGCGAGCTGGCCGGCGCTTTGGAACAGACCGTGGCCCTCGCCACCGGCGATGATGCAGCCCTTGACCAATGCGTACACAATGACAGGAATGAAGAGCCACCAGAAGTCCTTCTTGTAGTTATCGTAGAACAGACTGTATTTTTTCCAAGTTTCCTTGTCCTCGTAGAGGCTGTCGACATCTCCCTCGGCCTTCTTGTACTTGCGAGCCATGTAAACAATGCGAATGGCGAAGAAGAGAAGAAGTGCTGTGAAGAGAGAAAGGGTTATAGCAGCCAGCAGCTTTGCTGCCCACGAATCACCCTTTCGGAGTTGGTAGACACAGTACAACACCCAGATACTGTATAGCACGAGAATCATGTTGGTGATAGTCCGCGCCATTAAGCCCCAATAATCCTTCCGGAAGTCGGCCAGCTTGTTAGGGAAATTGCCATACAGCGCCCACAGTTCCAGGATGACTTTCAGCAAAAGAATGCCGACAACAACCACAGCGATGACGATGGCGAAGATCAGGAGAACAGTCATGAAGACGTCGGCAGACGGAACCATCAGTTCTTGAGCAACTTGTTTCAGGTCGTTAACCTTGCTTGAGGATTCACCATCGTCACTGCTCGAAGAGTCGTTCGAAACACTATCATCGGCAGAGGCTTCAACTGAGCGAGCAACCATCGTGCCGAATTCGATGGTGTAATCCCAGCTTCGTTTCGTTGTGTTGGATGATGAGCTGCTTTGCGTCATGGACGAATTTTTCAGGTAGTCATAGCTCTCCGTGGTCAAGTTACCACCTGTGGACGCCCGAAATTTGTCGATGGACTGCAGCAGGCCCGGCCAAGGAATCATACCAGTGCTCCACATAAAGTTCGAGGAGAAGCTGCGATAGACTTGGGGGTAGGCAACGCTGAGCATGCCATTGGTGGCCATGGAATGGAACCAGCCCATTACATCGCCAAATCCAGGGCTAGAAGACGGTGATCCAACAGTTCCCGCCGAGCCGATGGCAGAGACACCGCTCAGTGCTAGAGCGCCCGCCGCAATGCCAGCCGAGGCATATTTGACTGCGCCGACGTTCGTGGAGTGGCCGTTGGTCAGTCCGGACTCGATGCAGGCCACATTCTTCTCGACTCCCTTGGACTTAAGGATAAGCTTTGCCTGACCATCCAAGTCGGGGATGTTGAATGCGATACCAGGGATCTGGCTAGCGTATTGAGACGGAACCTCCATGGATCCGCTGGCCTTGAAAGTACCCTTAGGGACGGGGCAAAGTTGGTCGACATGAATTTCCGTGCCGCAGGGATCAAAATCCTTGCTGTAGAGTTCGTTGCCATAGGCAGTGACGGTGATAGACGCCGACACATTCTGTTCCATCGCGTTGGTACCAGCCACGTCGAAGACAACTACTCCAGTAGAGCGAGCGTAGGTAACATCCATCTTTTGGACGTTGATTGCGGAATCGGTCATGCACAGGTTGAATCCGTGTGTGGATAGGGTGTCAGCTGCCAGGGCTTGAGGCACGATGGCCAGGCCTAGCAGAGCCCAGACGAAGTTCTGCATGTTGGCCAAGCACAATTGATGTTCTATACAATATACCAATCTGAATCTAACAGTTTGAACCAAGTAGGCGCGGATTCATAAAGGATGTAGGGATCGATTGGCGCGATGATCGGACGGGTTGGTAACGATATATGGAGCGACTGTGGGTAAGTCACAGGGGGAGGGAAAGAAGCAAAAAGCAAAAATGAAAGGCAGGATCAACCCGCTATAGAAAAGAAATCAAAAGATAAATAATAATAAATGAGTCGAAAGGGTCGCGAGGACGAGGTGGGATTGTGAGACACTGGTTTTCGAGCAACCAGGAACTGTAAATAACGAGAGACACTTGAATGAGGGTGGTTGGAGAGAGGAAGCGATTGGAGATTTAGTGAATGGAATTTCCCCCTCTCGCAAATGCGCAATGCGATGATCTGTGAAAAAGAAGAAAAGAGAGGGAGGAAAGTCTCGACCGTAGATTACACGACTTTCCGATTAGTCTAACCTTGGCCCCTGAATTTGGGACTGATTGGCCCTGACCCCGTTTCAGTCTAGACCTAACATTTGGTATGTTACTATTTCCATTAGCCTTGGTATTTATACCTTAATTTTTATAATTTTTATTAACTTTTATTATTTTACTCCCTACCCGTATATAAGCCCCGTATGTATTAAAAGGAGTTGGAGGTCTACATAAACAGATTGAAGTTCATAACCTTGGGATTTAAAGCTTTCCTCCAGATCAGACCCAAGGTTTGCCACTTAAGTTACCATGGTACCAGCCCAAGAATAAGCCCAAAGGAGGTGGCACTCAAACCTTGGAAGTTCTCCCGCTCACCCACCCATGGAAACGCATTCCTCCCCACCCAATCGAGGAATTTCCCTAAACAACGCCACACCAGCCACACGGGATGTCAATTGTCCCAAATACCTCTAGTGCTTGAGAATTATGATTTGACCATTCAAATTAATTCAAATGTATCACGACTCGATGGTACCTGCAGAGCCGAAAGTTGAGTAAATATCCATGGTCCGCTTCTTCATATGTTGTAAATCAAACATCCCTATCACAGTTTATGTATGACGTGTGCCCCTCGCGGGGTGTCGCACACAAGCGATGGGAGAACAAAAAGCTGCAGGGCTTAAGCATGACTGAAATGCCGATCAAAGATCCTCGCACAATCAGTTCTAGACTTACTCAGTGGGCCCCTTACAGGCTTCTGGATGGACACATAATGTTCTTGCTGAAAATCTTGTTATTATGCATGCGATCAATCGAGTCCTGAGAACTACAAGTAACATAGGAATCACATTGTTTTGTGTGCACTGCACTCACATCTCAGAAACCATGAAGGTGGAAAACACGAAATTTGAGACCTATGTGGGTTCACCCTATGGTCCGATCATCAATGTGAGACAGGGCCAAGCGCTGGGGTGCCGCCCTAAATCACGGATATTCTATTCTTGTCTCTTCTGACAGCCTATAGCACACCTCAATTATTATTATGATTATCACCATGACAGCCTCATACTATTCTTACTCGTTGTCCATACAAACATACATAATTCATACAGTCTGTACTACCCTGTTGCTAGCGAATAGCTACGGAGTAATCCGTGAAAACTCTGTAGATATTTATCGGATTGTATTCATTTCATGGTTTCAGGTTAATTGTTTTATCAATAAACAGAACAAACCTTTAGACGATACAAAATAGGGGCCTGTCACGAGGAAGAGGGTCCACCAAGAAAATTTCTGCTTAAGAGTTAAACATGAAGTATAGAATAAAGATCTAAGATAAACTGTATGTTGTAGATACTTTCTTAAACTCAACGATTCAATTATTGTTGTCTGTTGGTAAGAATATTCTGCTAATTATCCAGCACTGTGTTTCACCTAAACACGATGACATACGACTTTGATGACCTTAATATTAAATAGTACTATGTAACTACCCCGTATTCTAAGCTCGAGATAATGTCTAAGATAATGCTGCAATGTAAGTTTCAATGTCCGGTTTTCTTTTACAGTTATTACCAAAGCGTGGAAATAACCAATAATAGTCACAAACAACATAATATTCGTGATGTTAAGCATAATTCCTACAAACGACCATGTGTAACCTGTGATTTTTACAACAGAGACAGAAATAAGAGAGACATACTCCATACTTAGGTCCTCCGTACTCCATCCTGGGATACTCGGCAGAAAATGTGCTCTCCATACCGCCTGCTACATTGTGACCGACAAAGACTCCCATTCTACCCCCCCTCATCACCTCTCTCCTCAGGCACAAGCTCGCTACCATGGGGCCCGAGGGGCTCGAGAAGCCCGAGATCCCAGATAAATCCGAGAAAAAATCTCGTCGACGTGGGGCCGAACTCGATCCATTCCTTCGCACCCGGCTCTGTGTGCTCAGAACCACAGCCAAATGGACCTACAAACAGATCCAGAATGAATACCCACATATTCCCCTCTCAACCATCAAATCAACCATTCTCCGAGAGAGTAATCGTGTCAATAATCACTCACAAGCCCGCTCTGGCCGACCGTCAAAACTGAAGGAGGAAGATCGAGCCCGAATCCGTGAGGCCTTCCATGCGAATCCTCAAGTTACATACGATGAACTACTTGTGGTGGTTGATTATAAAGTTGGCAAGGAGTCGCTTCGTCGGTTCTTGAATGATGATGGGCTGAGGAAGACTCAGACACCTGGTCGGTCTTCCTTGGCTGGGAAAGGAGCTATCAAACAAGTTGATGGGACTCAACATGTTCAGTCATATGACACACCTCCCGCTGGCTGGGCTGGTGATTTTGGGTCTGGTCTAGTACACAGCGAGTCAGATCTTGCGTCTGCTACAGCGAGTCATGTTGTCGGCAATTAGACGACTTGTTGAAAGAGATACCCTTGTGATTTTCAGCGTTGTGTTTTCAGTTGGGCTACCTGCTCCATTATCCAACCAAATTTATTCAGCGTATCATGACAAATATAAGCTATATGGGACATACGGGCATTGGAGTTAAACTTTTGTTGTAGGATTGGTTTTGTGCAAGCTATTATATGGCCTCAATGTCACATTGTGGACAATTGGTCCCAATTTTTACAAAGAAACATCTAAATACAGCGTGTTCACCTCAATATTACTTTATTATCGCATCATACATAAATTTTGATTCCGGGAGCTTTTGTCGGGTCATTGTTTTTGAGCAGCTTGTTTGTATCATGCTAATTGTCTCGGATATGAAGTGTGAGAAATTACAGGCAACCTCGTATCAATAGTCCCGTTCATAATCCTAAGATAGAAAATGAGATATAGTATGTGGTCAGACTAAAGATCTGGGTAAATCATAGCCATTTGGGGTAAGTTCTCTGGTTAGATACGTATATGGAGTTATTTTTGTAGCTTCTGCAAGAATAGAATATGACATGGATATTGCTAAATCCTTGCCTTGCATTCCAGAAACAGTTACAACTAAGCGGTGCCTCATTACCTCTGCTCTTGAATGTATCTCCTGGGACATTCTAGATGGAGGGAAAGGTAACGGCGGCCAAGTCTGGAGGGTTTCGGGCTTGTTCTATAAATAGTCATGTAACGGGACTTAGAATGGGACAAGTATCGACATACTTACTTCCATGGGGTTTGTCGTTTATCTTGAGGTGCAGATATAGGCATCCTTTGATTTTAGTCGATATGTTGTCGCAAACACTGTGTTCATGCCTTGTAGGTCTGACTTCCAAGGTTGCAGTCTTTGCTCTCCCTTGCGCTCCCTATAACCAAATGGGGAATTGCATGTTAGCGTAGGAAGAGTAGGACCACCTAGAATATGTAATTCTTTTACCAATTCAAAGACAGACTAAGCTCTGCTGCTCAATGTTAGGAGTGAAATATTGAATTACCAGCCTCTGGATAATTACATTCGCTCGATATGTCACATCTTGAGATCCAATGCAAATATCAATCAGATGAAGTTATCAATCAGATGAGGTTGCATCGTAAGAATAAAAGCCCATGCCGACAAAACAGCAGGGAAAGCACAAATTGTCCATGAGAACAACACCATACGCCGGGGTATTTTCCTTTTTCCGAAAAGCATTCGCTGTGCAAAGAAAGAAAAATCGTTAGATAAATGACAAAGATCAGCTCATGCCATCATCACATCTTCCGCGGGGTTGGCAGCAGTGGAAGGCACAGCCGAAACATCAGCCATAGCATTATCGCCGTCTGAATCAAGTATAGGGGTGGTGTTCTGCCAGTGAGACTCAGGGGTAGGGGTAGCACCACGGCTGGACGCATCATCGTCAAACCCGGTGGCATTTTCATCGACCTCCTCCCACAAACGAACAGTCTTGTCCGCTCCGCTGCTCACAACCATACGCTTGCCATTCAGTTCACCGGTGTGCACGCAAAGTACAGCATCAGAGTGACCTTCAAGGCGCTGCATAATTTGCTTGCTCACAATGTCCCAGAAGAGGATAGAACCATCCTCACTACCGCTGACAGCGAAACACAGAGGCTCGTCGTAGGTTGCATGCCGGGCTCCATAAGCACCGAAGCATCCCGACAAGCTGAACGTATTGTTGACATGACCTTGGAAAGTCTTAACGACGCGACTCTCAACGTAATTCCACATCCGAATGCAGCCGTCCAGGGTCCAGGCCAAGACGTATTTTCCATTGGGGGAGAACTTGACGCATGTTGCAGGCGGATTATCCTCCATGACCAGGGTGCGGAGACACTGGCCGCTGTGAGTGTCCCAGATACGAATAAGCCCATCCAGAGCACACGACGCAATGAGGGTTCCATCATACACAACATCAATACCGGCAACAGGGTCAGAATGAGCCGGAAGGGTTCGAATAATCTGGGCACGGCGAACATCCCACATAAACACGGCCTCGTCGTAGGAGCCACTGATAAGAATGTTACCCTTAGGTGCGAATGCAATTTGATACACAAAGTTCTTGTGACCATCAAAGACCTTATCGTGGGCCTTGAGCTGCATCGAAGTATTAGTAAAAGGCCCGAGGGTATAAAATAATGGATAGGTTTCTTACATTGTTCACGTTCCAGAACCGAATGGTCTTGTCGTCGGAACCAGTTGCAATCCAGTCACCATTAGGGGTCCAAGCAAGGGTAGAAATACCAGCTAGATGCCCATCAAAGATGTGAATGAGTCTACCACTAGCAGTGTCCCAGATTCTGAGAGATGCGTCGGCGCCTGTTGTGTAAAGTCAGTTTACAAGTCACGTAGAAGTTAGAGAATAAGTATAATACATACTGGCACTAGCGATCATAGTGCAGTCAGGCGAGAATTGAACAACCGACACTCCGCGCAGGTGGCCGTGCATAACGAACTTCTCCTTGTAGTTTAGATGCTCGGGCTTGGGAGGTGGCGGAGGAGCAAGAGGCGTCGCAGAACCGTCAGACCAGTTGTCAGCGTCGACAGCCTGGTTCTCGTCGGAGCCAGTCACATCACCTTCCGCAGGATCATCCGAGCCGCCCTGCGAATGGTCGTCACGGATGATTGTGCGGTTGACCGGCGAAGTACTGCGGCGACGGTTGCGCTTGCGTGAGGAACGCCAATACTCGTCGGCATCCACGGCTAGCTCGTCGGGGCTTTCGGACTCGCTGTACAAGCGGCCGGACTTCTTTGGACGAAGTGGGGTGAAGCCCTTCTGCATGGTCCAGCTGGCGCGACGGCGTTCGGCCTCGTCATGGTCGGAGCCGGCGGCGAGTTCATCGGAAGAAGACTCGGTGGGGGATTGGGCGCGAGGGTCCCGGCGGCGAGGCTGGGGATCCATTTTTCAAAGATAGGTGCGTAGAAGCATCCAAAGAAACAGAAGCAAATACGCCGAAATTGGTCAACAAAAGCCAATTTCGAACTCCGGTATGAAAATTAATCGGACGCGTCGCGACGAATATTGCCAAGGCGGTGTGGTACTTTAGCGAGCGGTGAGTCCAAGGACAACGTTGGTTGGTTGGCTGCCTCATACTAACTAGTCTCGTGGACTGTCAGGTGGAACAACATCGATCTTTGTTTAGCACATTATTGAGCTCTTCCTGGTCAACTGATAGCCCTAAATTTTAGCTTTAAAAGCTCATTCTGGTCAATATTAGGCCCAATGGCCAGCTCTATTCCCTCCAAAGCTCCAAGTGATATCCGCATTCTCACATTCAATTGCTGGGGTCTCAAATACATCGCCAAATACCGTCATGAACGCATGTCGGAGATTGGGCGGCAGTTGGCAATTGCCAGCCCGCCGCCAGAGATAGTCGGACTCCAAGAATGTTGGACGCAGAAGGATTATGAAAGCATTCGCGATCAGACACAACACATCCTGCCGTATGGGAAATTTTATTACGGCGGCATATTTGGCGCGGGATTGGCGATTCTGTCAAAATGGCCCATCGAGGAAAGCAGCATGTTTGGCTATCCATTGAATGGCCGACCAACAGCATTCTTCAGAGGAGATTGGTTCGTGGGGAAAGGTGTGGCCAGCGCACGGGTTCGGTTCGGTCCTGGTACCGCTGACGTCGCAGAGGTGTTCTGCACTCACCTACATGCGCCGTATGAGCGTGAACCGAACGACTCATATCTCTGTCACCGGACGGCACAGGCATGGGAGATCGCTAAGCTAATGCGCGGTGCCGCAGAACGCGGTCACTTAGTCATTGGCCTGGGTGACTTTAACATGCTGCCTTCCTCTTTTGCGCACCGTCTTATCACCGCGCAGAGCCCTGTTCGTGACGCCTGGCGCGAGCTGCATCCAGACTCATCTCTGGCGGCAGCAGTTGATCCTGTAGAAAAAGCACGGAATCGGCCTATCCCCACCGCCGAGTTCAATCTTGCCGAGAATGGAGCTACATGCGACGGGTCATTCAATACCTGGCGTTGGACTGAGGAGATGCGCAAGCGACTAGTTAAGGGGGAGGATATTGTCATTGACAAGGATACCCCGGACCCGCGTGGCAAACGTCTGGATTATATCTTCATCGGTGACGGTGGCTACCCGCCTTCATTCCCGCCGTCTAGCTGGTCAGTTGAGTCGATTCAAATCTCTATGACAAAGCGCCATCCCACTTTGCTCTGCTCGCTGAGCGATCACTTCGCCGTTGAGGCTGTCATCACCCGTTCTTCAGTACCAACATACCCTCCTTCTCGCTCCACAGAGCCTGTCCCAACCTCTCCTGATTCTCCTGCATTGCATAAATCAGCTTCAAAGCCCGTCTCCCCAAATGCCGCCCTTTCACCAGACACGTACGACCACATCATTGAAATCATTGACAAATACGTGGCCCGTGAGCGCTCTCAACGCCGATGGCGTCTGGCGCATTTCCTGGTGTCTATTGTGGTTTCTATTGGTTGCATGGTTGGTGTATGGTGGGTTGGCAGCCGCACGTACATCGGATTCATCCTCATCCTGGTCAGCACGCTCAACTTCGGTGCTGGCATTCTGGATGGTTTGATCGGTGGGCTGTTCATGTCGGGTGAGTTACGTGCCTTGAAAGAATTTGAGTGGGAGGTCAGCAATGCTAGGAGTTTGGTGGTTGCCGCCGAGGCTGGTGCGGGTACTGCATCAGAAGAAACGACAAGAGAACAGAAGGATAATTGATTGTTTTCCTTACAAGCTGGTGAAAGAGATTGATTATACGTGGGGCGTGGCTGGATTGCGTGGCTTATCCCTATCTGTTTATATTAGGTCACGAAAGTGTAGTATAACATATGCGCGGCTGGTATTATCCTCGACTGGCATAACTAATTCATAATTCTAAAGCAATACCAACTTCTCAAAGATACAGTGATACAGTACGGTACTAGTCTACAGGTTTGGAACAGAAGAGTATGTTCACGAAACGAGTGTGAAGTGCATTTGTCAAGAAATCATTGATCATCAAAGCTGCATAAACCCCCACTGAGTCCACCAGCATCAAACAAGCAGGCAGGAACGACTAAGCGAGCTAGAACAAAAGAGCGTGCGAATTTACTCAGCACACTCGCGCTTACGGGTCTCAAAGACACGCAGAGTCTCCTCAGCGGCCTTAACACCACTCATAACCATAGCACCGAAGGTGGGGCCCATGCGGTTGAAGCCATCGATCTCAGACAGCTCCATACCACCAATGATGAGACCCTTGGCGACCTCACGGGTGTTCTTAACAATAGCGTCCTCAGCCGCATTCATGTCAAGACCACGCATGCCACCCAGCTTCTCAATAGCGTTCATGGAGACGAGACGCTTAGCGCAGAAAGCACCGAATGGTCCGTCATGGCCAGTGGTGCTGACGATGACAGGGGCGTTGATAGTGTTGGGGTCCATGCAGGAGTGGTCGTCGTGGTGGAGGGTGACGAGGGTCCAGTTGACGACGACACCGGCGAGGCGGATGTCGTCACCGTCTGGGCGGGTGATCAGGTCTTCAACGCAGGTCGCGTTGAAAAGCTTCACGTTGGGGAAGGCGAGGACCTTTGAAAGGAGCGTCGAGGTGAACAGCGAGGCGTGCTTGACGACCACGAAGTTAGGGTTTGTGGGCTCTTCCTCGAAGGGCACGCCGAGCTCGGTCAGGAAGGCGTCTGCGGGGCGTCGGAGGATCATGGCGCTGAAGAGCTGACCACCTAGCCAGGCACCACCGCCTATATAGTATGTTTGTTAGTGATGCTGTGTTGGTTTTGTAGTGGAGGTCTATGTGAGAGAGAGTGTGTGGTGATAAGTCTGCTCGCATGGGACAAGACTAACCGGGTGACACGGAGGCCTCCACGATGGCAATCTTCAGGTCTGGACGGGCCTTGGCGAGCACATAGGCAGTGCTCAGACCACAGGAACCAGCACCGACGATGACAACATCGCTCTCGGCGTAGTTGTCCAGATCCTGGAAGTAGCGTCGGGTCATGGCGCGCGAGACTTGACTCTCGCGGATAGGGGCGAACTTGAACTCATCCCATTTGTTGCCGAACTGCTCAAGGAGGTTGGACTGGCCCTGGCCGGTCAGGGTGGTGGTCACCGACTCGGGGACGATGACCTTGCCCTTGATGCCGGTAGGGGCAACGGTAGCAGACTCAAACATGGCAGCGGGAGGAGACATAATAGTTCAGAGATCAAGTCGAAGAGGTGACTTTGAGCCTTGGTTAGTTTGTCTACTAGTTTGTGGGGGAGGGAGGGGGGAGGGCATGATCCTTTCGCTGGTATTATCCAGATCAAGTTAAAGGCCGTATAATCTCAGAACGAACCCACGCCGAAGATGAATCTGATGCCTGGGAGACATTGGATTCACCACCGACGCAAGAACGAACACCGGCTCATACCCAGAAGTTACCTGAGATACCTTGATCCCTGAGGGATAATGTGCCCAGCCAAAGAGTATCCATGGCTCCCAAAGGAAGGGCAGTATGTACTTGTCCGTTTGGGATCTAAACGAGAGTCAGCTCTGAGGGTATACAAGTACACATGGTAGTAGATAGTTACTGTTGTGATATGAATTCGTCAATGGAATGATGAAGAGAAGAAGAAAAAGAAGAAGGGGGAGAGAAAACACGGCGGGCAGGTCAACCTTATATGGCAACAGCCATACCCCACCATCCCCCACCTATCGAGATGTCATACTACTCCGACTCTCTCCGGTTTTCCGGTGAACTCCTCGGTGAGCTATGAAGTACGTCGCACGAATTAAATTGCTCTCTAGTGACGTGTCTAGCTTTTCTAGCTTGTTGCTCCACGAGTGGCCGGAGCGTTCTGCCCCGGTCTTTCTTACTTTCCCCCACGGAGTAGGTTTCCAGTGCGTACAATTGTTTGTCTGGTGTACTCCGTATACATCTTGAATAATAGCAGGCAGTAAGTAACATAGTACATTGATCGCGGGTTCTTATACCGTGGGATCACCGCTGTCAAGCTTGTCTGAATGTATAAATTGGGATCGGATATACTTTGTATGGACGACTAGGATGGCTACCAGGATCACAGAATGGGGGCGATTTTTATTTGAAATGCGATCCACCTGAAGCCGCTTGTGCATTCGTGAATTCAACAGGAAATAAATTTCATACATATTTCATTTTCTCTTCAAACTGTGAGGGCTGCTTCCTGACATCATAACTAGTCATCACAGCCTTCAGCTGGGGCATATACATGAGAACGCAAGCAAACGTAAGAGAATATATAGTGATCTTTGTTAGATGCAAAAATCAAAGCACAAATCGATAATTGGCACCATAATTATCCTCCGCTACCGGGCCATCCACACATTTTGTTGGGTCTTCATCAATACGAGGTCCATAGTTCTTGTCAAGGCGTCGGTTCTCCCATACCAGGAGCACACGCAGACACAAAGCCAGGAATGTAGTGAAGAACATAAAAGCAGCACAAACTACCATACCCTTCACATACCTTGGGGCTTGTTCATCTGGGAAAATATTGGTGCCCAGGAAAGGACCACATTGGCCGATCAGGTTCAACAGGACAATACTTCCACCACGGCGAGTATCGGAGCCCTGGTTGTCTGCACAACACAGAACGTAACACGTCCAGTCAATAAAAGGTCTTTACACAAAAGGAAACTCTAATGACCCGAAAAGGAGATGACTCACTCAGAACCCATGGCAGGATATTGGCGATCGAGGGGAAAACTCCACAGGCCGCCAAGAACACACCAAAATATCGCACACCCACTGATGTGCAAGTCGCACAAAGGATATACCCCACGCCACCAACCAATGATAAAGCTGCGATCATCAATCCACGCTGCTGGATGCGATCCGCCACCCAGGTGGTCGCGATCGTCGCCAGGAATGAGGCAAAGAACGGAGGTGCAGTGAGCCCCTGAGCGTTGATGGCCGTGAAACCCATCTCCTTGAGAATGGTGGGTAAGAACACGGGGAGAGAAGAGAAACTGACGTTACAGCTGAAGTACATCAACTAGGTACACGGTTCAACATCAGCAAGTTCTCCGTACAATATACACAAGGATACAATGATGCTGATGTTCGACTTACTGCTGTAAGCCACGCTTTCACATCGAGAAGGGTCATGGCTAATTCCTTCCATTGGATTTTCCCCGTTCGATTTGTTTCACCGGATTGTTGCAGTGCACGGGCACGCGCAACATCCTTCTCTTCATCGGTCAGGAACTTTGCGTCCAGCGGGCTGTCTGGCACGTAGAACCACGCCAGCACGGCCGACGCGCAGACCGGAAGACCCTCAACCAGAAATAGCAATCGCCAATTTGCCAACGCAGCATGTCCCGAAGTAATACCATAAGCCAAAGCACCGGCGAATGTGTTTGCCAGCGGCGCGGCAGACAGAAACAGACCGCAACGGAGACCCAGCTCATGGCGACGGTAGAAGAACGATAGCAGATAGGGCACACCGGGACCGAAGCCAGCCTCGAACACGCCCATCAGGAACCGGAGCGCCATCATACCTTGCCAATTGCTCACCGCTGCCTGACACGTTGCCGTCAAACCCCTTTCCATCATTTGTCAGTTCATAATCCATAGACTCATACACATTTACAATCTTGGCTGATCGACAGCATTGCACGTGGGATTCATACCAGGAGAACACCACGAAGGCAGCCCATTGATGCGGTTTGACAACCTTCCACATCAGTGCTTGGAATTCAAACAACGTATATGAAATATAGAAGATTGTCAAGAGCCAGGCATAGCTTTTCCCATCGAGGCCGAGGTCCTCTTCCATGCCGGCGATTTTGGCATTGCTATGGTTTACATTGTCAGCGGATGTGCTATTATGCGTGTAGGTCCAAATATGATGTTGCGAACGAACCCGATATTACTTCGGTCAAGGAAAGCGAGGAGATCTAGGTACCACAGAAACGCATGGTCAGAGCATAAGTTCGTCTAATGCCTGGAGTTCGAAGCATACAGAACAATCCCAATAGCGTCGGAACATGCCAGTCCAATTTCCTTACCACTCTCCGCTCTAGCTCGGGATCAATAACCAGCAAGGTTGCCGCGGGTGGTTTCTCATGAGCGGGCACGACAACCTTCTCAACATCTTCATCAAGGGCTGTTTGGATTACATCCGCTGGCAGCCCCTGCCTTTCCAAGAAGCTCATGGTGGGTTGAAGATGTCAGATGTCAGAATGGACAATAGAATACTGGTCTTAATATGAAAATAGGAGAGAAGAGAGAAAAGATCGGACAGAAATCCCGCGTGGAGGCATACTTAATCGCGGGGTGAAAGGGGGGAAAAAGAAAAAGCTAGGATCGGCAGAGGCGTACTTTGTACATCACATAAGGACTGATGCTCAGCTCTCAGAATAGTGGGACTGCAGAAACTAGTGATATTTATTGGTCACTGGGATGGCTGAAGGGGGATTTTGAGTGGAGAAGTTGGAGAAATGCGAAGGAATTGGCAAAAGCTTAGGTAGAGAGCTGCCGCTTTGGTGTGAAAGGCCGAGGTTGGGGGAGTACTTCGTACATATATTTCCTTTCAAGGGGGAAATAGTATATCGTACCTTTTCATATCTTGATCTTGGCTGGAGTATCTATTTGTCTATTTAAAAGAGAGAGAAAGGGCTTATAAGGCAGAAAAAGGGTAGTTTGGCAAGCACATCTTCCATCTGATTGGAAACTGTGCCACCAGGGGCATAACTCTCTCATTGGTTTATATTGCTGGCAGTATTTTAGATCCACTATTAGTTACATAGTGAACTATGGGACAAAACTAGAGTATCTATCAATCCTAATGAATACTAAGTTGACTAGCTTTATATGGCTATCCATATGCCATACAAAGTTAGGCCTAGAAAGTGTGGAGGGAGAGAGGTACGATATGCCGACTAACTACCTGCTTGAGGGGTTGATGTCTAAAGCACTAGTATGAAGGGCTAAGGCCACTCTATAACAAATATGAAATTAATCAGAACATGTCAAATTGAAATAGGTCTCGTTGATAGAATGAAAAAGATGATTTTATCTTTATTAGGTTCAAGATTGACTACATGTGAGATCGATGCCTTCCATAACTAACCAATAGTAGTCTAGTACTCTCATTTCCTCCATTACCTTTACATTACTTTGGATGTCTTCATAATCTCATCTACTCTGACCCTACCTAGGTAACAATCAGGATAATTAATTTATATATGCATAGAAATAAAAGAAAAGTCGAAATTAGTATAACTATACTCCGTAGATTAAAATTAACATGCAGGGAGCGAGCGGTGAGAACAGCGGTCAGGTTATATCCAATGAGAGAGTTGTGCCCCGGTGGCATAATTATCGCCCGTATATCTGTCAATATCCAATTTTGGAAATTTCGGATTGAAACCGAGAAGAATCATTTATTTATTGTATATTATCTACTTCTATAAAAAGAAGAAAATACATCGATAAATGATTGAATGAATTTCGAACTACGACAATAGGTAAAAATAACCGGGGCCTTCATATCCAGACGTTCTGCATGTTAGGTCGATACCGGATACCGTATCAAAAATCTCCCGCGTAGTGTCGCGTTCACTGAACACCTCCATCCTTCATTGCTCTCGCCCTGTTTACTTCCATCACATCCCAATTGCCTGGCTTGATTTGAACCTAATTCAATTATACCTTCCCAAAGTTGATTGCACTTGGCAATCAAGCGCACAATATGGATGACCCGGCCACACGGATCCCGGGGCAGCTGGTAAGACCCGGACAACTTCCTATATCGATTGCCCCATGATCTGTAACCCCCCACTAACCTTGTCGCAATTATGATAGCTCCCCCATATGCACCTGGTTTCGCGCAACCGATACCCTAGCATGCACATGATGCCATCTGAGACCGCCGTCGAGTATCTGACGAGCGCACCCCGGATCTGCCAATCCCAACCAATGCATTGGACATTCCTCGATGGTCCCCCGGATGGAACTGTCATGCTTACATGGCAACCACAAAACCACCTAGGCAATAATTTTGCCAGTGATGGCTATATCTGGGCCGACCAAGAACAGGCCTTTTCCTTTGAATCTCGCGGCTATGTATGTCTTCCTACAATGAAGCTTCCCTTCTTCCACATGGATTCTATTCTAATATGTGAGGACATAGACTGTTGAGATGTACCTTCACCGAAGCGGTTTCCACCCTCCCAATGAGCCTGTGGCAACACACTGCCGCAAGCGCTACCGCATTACCTCGTCCAAAGTACCCAATGCACCCCAGCCCGATCCATCACTGTGGATTGTGCATTATACCCGCGCGGCGCCTCAGGACAATGCCCCGGCAAACCGAATCCAACTTACACCGCAAATCCAGGGCATGATGAGCCAGCGCCGCTTCCTTCAGAGCCAAGGTCAATTGGCCCGCAAGGACTTTTTGCTTCATGATCGCAACAGCTGGCCAGTTATCAACTTCCCTCAAATGGCCCAGCCGAACTTCGCGCAAGCCGGTGCTTACCCACCTGCTGCGCCTCGTGGACCTGGTTTCTACCCTCCCCAGGGTCATCCGACTGCAGTCGCGCCCAATGCGCCCGTAGCCAAAGGGCCGCGCGGACACCGTGCGCCGTCGGCTGCTCTCGCTTCTACAACAGCTGATTTTGCTATTGAAGATGAGGACGTGTCCAGTGGTGACGCTATGGATCTTTTAACGCCGCGCGATGTCAGCAAGATGCGATACCAGCAGCATCACGAATGGATGGAGGAAATCTTCGCGTCGCCATACAGCGTCTCACAAATCACACCAGTTTCCTTGGGTCTGGGCCGAAAGGGAGAGCTCGAATCCCTTACTGCAGGCTTCTTCGATGCTCCTGTTGGAACCTCTGGGGGAGAAGGCCAGGAGGCGGGCGACGCCCCGCAGGCTAACAAAATGGAGCCGGCCAAGGCAGAGGAGTTTGCTGAGCGGGTCTCTAAAAAGGTGGCGGACATGACTGCCGAAATCGAAAACCTGAAGAAACAGCATGCTCGCCGGATGCAACGTTTCAACCGAAGCTCCTTGCTTAAGGATGCCGAGTTGCGCCTCCGGGAGTCCGCAGCCGACCCTACCGAAAAGGGCCCAGAAATTTGGAGGCTGGAGGGTCGAGTGGTTATCCCAACTGAGGATGAAACTCCGCAATTGGATTACATCGAAGATAAGGCCAAATACAGGGTTGACGAGATAGTCCGGGAAGTTGAGACTGCCTGGAATAAGCAAATCGTTGCCGAGCCAAAGGTATCCTGTGTCGAGAAGGGCGGTTTATTGGAGAAGATTGAACCTGAACACAAGGACGAGCCTGACACATTTACCAATGATATGGTCATGGACGATGACTCCCACCTACTCAACCAATTTGGCAGCCCGGGCGTCGGTGTAGGCGCAGTCTCAAGTGTTTCTGTCAATGGACAACCAATTCACGGCGCTGATATGTCCGGTGATGTTGACATGGACTTGGGCGACCAGCTCCATGCTGGTACCAATGGCCCGGCCAACGACTGGGTAATGGTAAACAATGAGAGCAAAGAACATGGCCCGGTCGAAGATTTCGACTTTACCAACATCGACAGTGCCGGGGACGCCTTGGCGGCTTACAGCGAGCAGAACGATGGTCTTGACTTGCCAGATCTGGAGAACTCGGCGTTTGGCGACGCATTCCATGCATCTGACAATGAGCACTCGCACAACCCTGATGCGGACGACATTTCCTAGTGTGGCCTGAGATCTTTTCACGTGAAAGTGTGTGTGTGTGTGTGTGTGTGTGTGTTTTTTTTCTTTTTCTTTTTTTTTAACGAATGATTCTGCGGATCAGTCATTCTGGTCTGTTCCAGGCGTTGCGGCTTGCTGTTCGGGGGGTCTGGACTTTTGTGCAGGATTAGCTGGTTGTGTACCATAAGATTGGCCAGGAGGATATTATGCTTCCTCTGGCCCTGTGAATTTCTTTCTTTCTTTCTTTTTTTTTTTCTGTTCCCTCTAATTGAGAGAGAGGATAGATAGTGGGATCTCATGAATTTTATCCCTATTTTTTTCACCTCATCTTCCACTCTAAGTAGAATCGATTGAGATATTTCCCATTAGGAAGGTAGCAGTTGTGCCTACGCATATTCCAAATGTGAAAATGAAAGGCACACTACTACCTATGTGTATGATTATATACCTACCTAGGTATATGCCTATGTGCCTATATAACTATAACTATGATTAACTATAGATAATATCATAATTAACTAATAACTAGTCTGCAGATGTAGTACTTTTAGTACGTTGATATAAAGCCAAGGATAGAGAATGACGATCGAACCCTAGCATATTTTCATGATATTCATAATACACAACCCAAGAATTTAAAGACCATCACCACTCACTATTCTACAACGTTAAATGTTGGAAATGTCCGCAATCGGAAAAAGAGCGTGGATGAACAGTTCAACTTGACATCCGCTCCTCCCCGTTCATGACGTCAGCCACCGGGACTGCACTTCCTCTGGCGAAGAAAAAGAGACGCCCTGGAGAGAACCCTGGAAATAGGGTTCGTCACCATCGTCATCTATAGGAAGGCGCTGCCGACTTATCATAACCTCCCCCAGATTCACTTTTCTCGCTTTCTCATCTCTTAACATACCTAGCTATCCCCCTCTCTACCATAACCCTAACTTGTATTGATTGACTATATCTACATACAAGAAACAATATGTATGTATTCTATACATTCTAAACATATCATTTGGACTAAACCAAAGTCTAGGAACCGAAACCTCTCATTCCGCTCGCGCAAAGAGCCTCCCCGACAGCGGTTTAGCATCTCCACATTCCGTGGGATGCAAGCGCCGGAGCTCAGTCGCAAGATGACCAAGCTGATCAAGAGCGAGAACACTGCCATCGGTGCCCACGAAGCTGCCGGTCGTGAGCGCACCTCGATCGCTGCCCAGCTTTCTGACTGGGGCGAGTCGACTGAAGACGACAATGTCTCCGACATCTCCGACAAGCTCGGCGTGCTCCTGGCTGAGATCGGCGAACAGGAAGACGGCTTTGCACAGAACCTCGAGGATTACCGTGGTATCCTGAAGCAGATTCGTAACATGGAGGCCTCGGTGCAGCCATCGCGCGAGCAGCGCCAGAAGGTCACTGACGAGATTGCCAAGCTCAAGTACAAGGACCCTTCGAGCCAGCGACTGGTTACGCTGGAGCATGAGCTTGTCCGAGCTGAGGCTCAGAACCTGGTTGCTGAGGCGCAGCTGTCTAACATCGTACGTTTGGTTCTGATTTCGTCCTGTTCTCGTGTGACGTGGGAGGTTAATTGGACTGGCTAACGTTCATATCATCCGCAGACTCGCCAAAAGCTGAAGCAGGCCTATGATATCCACCTAGCGGCCGTTATTGAGCGCGCCGAGAAGCAGACCATTCTGGCTCGCCATGCTCGTCGCCTGCTGAACTACATTGACGACACTCCCGTTGTTCCTGGTGATGCACGTCAGGCATATGACCATGAGCCCTTGGCTCGCCAGATCCTCGAGGATGCCGAGAATGATCTCCGTCAATGGGAACCTAGCGTTCAGCCTATCACCACCGCCGCGGGCCGGGACTCTCCGGTTCACACCAACGGTGCCGGTGTCAATGGAATCGATGATGCATCGGAGCGTCAGTCCGATGTTCTCGAGAATGTCTCTGTGGCTGAGGGTTTCACCGAACCAGTGGGTAGCGGTGCCCTGCCTGCGAAGATGGTAGTTGAGCCTGCGCCTGCGTGATCTTTTTAATCATTCTCAAGAGGTCTTTTGATTTCCTTTTTAGTTTGCACGGACATACTCCAGCTGTTGTGTGTAAATTCGGTTCTTCGCTTCAGATTGGGCACCAAACGTTGGAGAGGTGTTTTCGGGAAAGGCGTTGGCTGACACTGAACATGGGGGGGGTCTATACTCAGGAAATATGCAAATTGTGTATTGTAAAGTTTAATTTGCCAATTCGTTAATTCATTAATTGGTCGTTTCTTTTTCTTGCAACATTTTTCCTCAAGAAAGTAGAAATTTATATCAAATGAATACTCAATTTGTAGTAGAGCATCCACGTGACCACAGGCGCCAGAGTGACGCGGAAACCCCGAGCTCCAGCGGAGCTTCAACCATCACTTGCCTGTCTCACCAGAATCCCTCCCACGTCTTTCCAACATCTTTTTCTAATTTTCTCCTTATTTTCTCTTACTTCAGTACACAATGGATAAACTTGTTGCCCAATACTCGCGCCCTCCCCATCAGAATGAGATGTACTCAGAGCAAGAGCAGCAGGACCTCACTGCGAGCGTCCCTCCGCTCTCACTGAAGTTCAACCTTCCTCCTGTCGACGACGTGAGTTAACGATGAATACTGGGGCAGATTCTCTTCGATCTGGGTGGCGGTTTGGTCGGGGGATGTACGTCTATCCTGACGTCAACCTAAGCTGGGCCGTCATCACAGCTATGTCTAAGAGAATCGCTCGCCAGAACCTATCAATGATTGAAGCAAGCGAAATAATGGACAGACGCTGATTTCTTGTATCTAGCACTCTGCTTTCCTGCGTGCCATGACCGATGACCACTCCAATCCCAGCTGTCCTATCAAGCTCGCTCACGGCACAACAACCCTGGCCTTCCGATTCCAGGGCGGTATCGTACGTTTTCCTATATCTCGGTTATACCATGGTTTTCCTGATTTTGGAGCATGTTTGGGCTAATGCATATATTGGGTTAGATCGTGTGTACCGATTCGCGAGCAACAGCCGGCAACTGGATTGCCAGTCAGACAGTCAAGAAGGTCATCCCCGTATCGCGGTTGAGTCGGGGTGAGGACAAGAAGTCGAACGAGCCGACGCCAGGTCTCCTGGGAACGATGGCCGGTGGTGCAGCTGTAAGTTTGGACCGCAAGTGATGATGACGAGTGACGGTGTGATGGGCGTTAGTTGCTGATGGTTGTTGCGAATTGCTAGGATTGTCAATATTGGTTGCGGTATTTGAGTCAGCAGTGCACTCTGCACGGTAAGTTCAGCTCGATTCTTGATATTTGCGAACAGTGGACGGACATTGCTGATGAATTTCTATCTAGAAATCCGACACAAGCGCCGTATCACTGTTGCGGCCGCGTCCAAGATTCTTGCCAACCTCACTTACGCCTACAAGGGATACGGACTTAGCATGGGAACTATGTTAGCAGGAGTATGTCCCATGTATCATTCATAGCCACGAGATCCAGAAACTGACCATGAGCTCTAGATGACGCCCCAAGAAGGACCCGCCCTGTACTACATCGACTCCGACGGCACCCGTCTTCCCGGAAACCTGTTCTGTGTTGGATCCGGTCAGACTTTCGCTTACGGTGTGCTGGACGCCGAGTACAAATACGAGCTGACTGAGGAGGAGGCATTGAACCTCGGCCGCCGAGCCATTCTGGCTGCCATGCACCGTGATGCCTACTCCGGTGGTTTCATTAACCTGTACCACGTCAAGGAGGAGGGATGGGTGCACCACGGATTCGATGACATGAACCCTATCTTCTGGGACACGAAGCTCCAGAAGGGCGAGTTCTCCAACGTGACATCTGCGTTGTAAACGGGTTAGAGGAATGAATTTGTGTATTTAAACTGAGGACCTATGAATTATCTTTTCTGGTTGGTTTTACCTTTTGAGGTTGACATAATACGCCGTCAAACCTCAATGCCCGAAAGACCGGTTCCAGTTCTCCCATTTCTCGCCCTTCAGTTCTTCCTACATATCCGTATAAGGCCAGTAATTGGATAAGACGAGGGACTGTACAGAACAGAAATGAGGGAAATGTAGACGGTGCACTCTTGCTGGGTCAAGATATCGAGAGATCCTCGGCCGGTTAAAAGGGGTTCTACAACATAGAAGACTTATTACGGTATAGTTAATTAGGATAGGGCACATGTAAAGTTGTAATCTTCCCATTTCGTCGGAGATATCATGAAGTGTTATATTAGCAAGCGAAATCTAGTGGCATGGTAGGTTGGAGGCTGTAGATATATATGTTATCTTCATGGGAATCTCTTTTGTTTAGACTAAATCCAAGTTCATATAGTCAGTCCAGTAGGGGTCAATTCCAAATAATATATATATATCATCGAATTATGCTTAGGTCTCAAGCGTTAACGCTATTCAAGTTATATCCATCTCCTATTATTAGTCGCTGTCTTTCTCCTGTCCTCTTCACAGAATATCTCAAGATCTCCAACTAAACAGCCAATTTCATAGCCACTTCAATATGTGGAAACCTCCCCTAATCACTCGAAACTTATCCAACAGAATATCTTTCGGCATAACCTGCAAATTATGAAAAGAAAGCACAACCCCCTGCATAAAAACAATATCATCAATTCGACTCGTCGTCTCCTCCCTCGTCGCCTGCGGCACATGGATCACCACATCAGCAATAGTATTAACAATCTCCAACAGCTTGCTAATCATCGACGATCCATGCACCCGAATGGTATTCTGCGAGATCTTCGTCAAAAACTGCCTAAGCTGACTCGACAACCTCAACGGCATCTCCAGTTCCAACGACGGACACGACGCATGCGAACTAAGCAAACAATTCGACATAGCCATCTGCCACAACAACGTCCGCATCCACTGTCTCGTAATAACCAAATCCGCCTGCTGTAGCTCCGACAACGCCGAAACTTCAACGTCCCACAACGCATCATCCAGCTCACGGTGTTTCCGCTCAACCCACGACGCAGTCACCTGCGTCCGGTCCCCAATCCACAGGCCGATAAACGACGCGTCAAGCATGCAGAATGTCTTGATCACCTGCATCCAGCCTTGCTGGATTTCCGCACCTAGGAACATGTCTTCTTCGGGGTACTGCGTGTGCGGAGGTAGTGTCGCCGGGGAGAAATTCACAATCGACATGAATCGCTCGTGGATGAAGCATTGCCAGTATAGTCGTTGGCGGCGGGCTCGCTCGGTCGTAGTAAGGCTTGCATTGGCGGTTTTGTCGTTGATACGGAGCATCTGGATCATGCTGATTGCTTCGTGGAGGTGGAAGAAGCCTAGGTCGTAGTGGCCCAGACTCATGGCGCACATCTGGATGAAGATGCTTGTTGTGGCGCGTAGGATCGAGGGTCGGAAGCCTATTACTAGTGGTTGTTGGGTTTCCACGGACTGGCGCATTAGGTCGGTTATTTGGGTTGATGCTGTTTGGGGGCTGGATTTGGTGGGGAGTTGAGATGAGCGTGTTAGGTCCAGCGTTACTGCGGTGAAGGCGTAGATGAAGGCTGCGTGCTCTCTTTCCGTGTTCATTTTTATGAGTGACTCGCGCACTTCTGTTTCGGTGATTATTGGGCTGAAGGGATATACATAGGACATGTAGGCTGGGAGTAGACTTTCAAAGTACGAGGTTGGTAGTTGGGGTGAGGCTGTAGGTACTGGTGGCGAGAGAAGTGGTGTCAGAGTAGTGGGTTTGGGGTTGGCGCTCTTATATTTTGAGATGACAGCTCCTCGGCGTAGTGAGTGTTTTCTTGATCGCAATAAACGGTTCTCTGTGTATGTGCACATGAGATCCAGGTGCTCGCATTGTTGGCATCTTTGCTGGCCGTTGCAGCGAACTTTGCGACGGTTACATGGGTCGCATGCTTTTGGCACTCGCGACTGGGAAGTTGGACTTGACATTTCTTCTTCAAATTCAAGGACTTTAAGGGTCAGGGGTAGATTGATGTTTAGTTGAAACATGCACTTATTTCCCCCGCGTTTTGACGTTGAAGAGTCGAGTCTTGGCACTTAGGACTTTTTCAGCGTAGCGTCACCGGGTTGTTCTCCCATGTGTGACTCGCCTAGGTAGGCCTAATTCGTACATACCTAGGTATATGCATTAAAACCTTAATAAACCTGGGGGAATCCGGGGTGATCTGGGGTGAACTGGGGGTGAAACTGGGGTGCATGGTGTCTTCAGACCAGGTATACCTAGGTATCATACCTACATACATACAGCGTTTACGTAGAAGATTGGATAGAAAGATCTGACTCGAATCATTCATGAAGGACAATTTGATTGCAATCTGCCGTTATGATATCTAAACCAATTTGAGTATGAGCTATCTAACCAGTAGTATATCCCAACCCTAAACCAAAAACACTCTACCCTCAAACGCCTGTAAGTCCTCCTTGTGTCCATCTGCATTGCTAGCCAACAATTTCCAGTCTCCACCCTTCTTCACAGAAGCCGGTTTCTCAAACTTCTGGATTGTATCCGAGAAGTTGAGAACCACCAAAACGGTCTGATTGTGATTGGTCTTGGTATAGGTGAAGACACTTTGATTTGGCTCGTCGATAATCTCAAACTCTCCAAAGACCAGAAGATCAGCATACTCCTTGCGCAGCGCATTCATGTGTTTCCAGAAGGAAAGAACAGAAGATGAGTCCTTCTCCTGGAGCTCCACATTGATCTCGGGGTAATTGTCATTCGGGCGCATCCACGGCTTTGCCGATGAGGCTGGCGAAAAGCCGGCATTGGCCTCAGCACTCCACTGCATGGGGAGTCTGGAATGATCCCTCGCCAAATGCTGCAGCGAGTCCATGGCCGCGCTCAACGCGGCTGGGTCGTCACCAGACACTTTGCTTGTCATTCGATAGTAGTTGGTGCTATCGATGTCTTTGTATTCGTCGATCGTCCACTCCCGAGGCGCATTTACCATTCCGATTTCCTGACCCTGGTAGATAAACTGCGTGCCGGAAAGTGTGCTCTGCATCATGGCAAGCATCTTCGCAGACCGAACCCTCAACTCGGGTGTCTTATCAGAGCCGAACCGACTCACAGAGCGGCCCTGGTCGTGGTTTTCCATAAACACTGTGGTCCATGCATCGGTGCCTTTGACGATATCTTGTGTGCTCTGCACGGCAGTCTTCAGTTCTCGTAGGTTCCAGCCCGGCAAAGTGGTCAGGAATTTATAGTCCTTGCCCTGGCCGAGTTCTACAATATCGAACTGGAAGACCATGCTCAGCTGCTTCTCTGCTGCTGAGACATAGCGCAAAACACCCTCCACGGTATGTGTGTTTGGCAGTTCACCAACGGTCATTGCATCGTATTTGGAAAGCACTTCGTTCATCTCGCGTATGTACTCGTGAATGCGAGGACCGTTGCAGAACAGCGAGAAAGCCGGTTGTGTGTCGGACTTTGAATCAAGGATTGGAGCATTGGCATACTCGGGGTGTTTGCTGTACATGTTGACCGTATCAACGCGGAAACCATCCACGCCCTTCTGCAGCCAGAATTCCATCGCTTCCTCGTAGACAGCCTGGCGAGTCTCGGGATTCTCCCAATTGACATCGGGCTGTTCAACACAGAAGAGATGGAGATAATATTCTTGTGTTGGCTCGTCCCACTCCCACGCACTACCTCCGAAAATGCTGCGCCAGTTGTTTGGCGGCTGACGATTCCCATTGGCGTCGTATTTCGCTGGCTTCCAGATGTACCAGTCGCGCTTGGGGTGTGTCTTTGAAGAACGGGACTCTTTGAACCATTTGTGTTGGTCTGAGGTGTGATTCACCACTAGGTCCAAAATGATTCGAAGTCCTCGCTTGTGGCATGCATCGATGAGGGTTTCCATGTCCTGGACAGTGCCATAGGGGCCATACACGCTTTGATAGTCGGCAACATCGTAACCCATGTCAATCTGCGGGCTGTCGTACATGGGACACAGCCAAATCACATCTACGCCGAGGCTTGTGATGTAATCGAGGGACGAAATAATCCCTGGGATATCGCCAATGCCATCGCCATTGGAATCTTTGAAACTGGCGGGGTAAATTTGGTAGATGATGGAATTTTTCCACCACTTTTCGCTAATTATAGCGGGAGACATGGTGGATGTAATGGATTGCAATGCAAGAAATGGTAATAGAAGAGAAAATAAAAGTCCAAAATAGGAGAAAGCGAGGAGGCCATATATATATGCATAAAGCATTAGATTTTAGATAATCACTGCACTCAGTACTTCTCCAAGACTTGACGATGGAGCCCAGGCTCCTCCGACACCCACGTAGGGAGGGCCATTGCTCTCATTGACTGAAGGTCGGGCCGACAATCATTATCAGCAACGCTCTGTGCTACTCCTCTGCCTGCGGGGTTTTTTAATGCCGGACGAGAAGTGTTGGGGGCTGTTTCAGTATGATAGGGATGGATTCCCACTTATTCCTGCGGAATTCCACTCAATTCCACTTAATCCCACGATCCGGAAAACATACTGAACAGACCCAGTGTCCGACCATGTGAAATGTTGAGAGCACATATGCCGATTCGTCTCTCTTTCCGGGCCTAACTGACCTTCGTTAGTTCAATCGACCAGAAAGGAGGGGAAAAAGGGGCAAGTCGGGCCGACATATCACCAATCAAACCTGTGCTATTCCCCGGCTCTCTCTAACTGGATTGGGGGAAGTGATAGACCTAAAATGGCCAATGCGAATCACGGCTGGATGAAAAAGGCCAATGAGAAGAAAATCCAACCACTCAAGACTTCTTCATCCCTACCCGGTCCGACATTAGGCCAATCGTGACTCTCCCACAAAATCCGGGGATAGTGGGCTAACCCAAGCCTACCCCGTGCAGATAAAACCGGGGAAAGTCTTCTCACGCCACTCCTCTCACTTATTACAAGAACTAAGCAAGGATTAAACTCGACGGACGAGTGGGCCAATGGAACCCCAGTCCCATCCTCGCTCATTATGGACGACCATCAACGACCATTAGCACAATTTTGTACATAAATGATCGACGACACCCGCATGAAATACTTCTCTTGTATCCAGTCCTGTTCACATCAAGGAATAATCTGGAATCATCCTTGGAGCCACCATTGGCAACCCCCATCCCAACAATGGCTTCTGAAAAGCAAGCCATCGACCATGTCGAAGGACATGACTCAATCGAACCAGCAGGCCATGTCCAGCCAGGCTATTCAGACCTCCAAACCACCAATGAAGCCCACGCCGCCATCGAAAAAGAACACAACATGACCGCCATGGAAGCCCTAAAGCTCTACCCCAAAGCCGTAGCCTGGTCCCTCCTCCTCTCCTGCGCCATCATCATGGAAGGCTACGACGTAGTCCTGATCGGCTCATTCTTCGCCTTCCCAGCCTTCAACATGAAATACGGCGAACTGATGTCAGACGGCAAATACGGCCTCGCGGCCCCCTGGCAAGCAGGTCTAACAAACGCAATGAGCGTCGGCCAGATCCTAGGCCTCTTCGTGAACGGTATCGTCTCCGAACGCTACGGATACCGCAAAACCCTAATGACCTGTCTCGCCACAACCGTCGGCTTCATCTTCATTCTCTTCTTCGCGCCAAACGTCCAGACCCTCGTCGCCGGCGAGTTCCTCATGGGTATCCCCCTGGGCGTCTACCAGACTCTCACGGTCACTTACGCTTCGGAGGTATGTCCCGTCGCACTGCGCGCCTATCTCACCACCTACGTCAATCTGTGCTGGGTCTTCGGACAGCTCATCGCCTCGGGAGTGCTGAAGGGTCTTGTCGAACACACCGACCAGTGGGCATACCGCATCCCCTTCGCCATCCAGTGGGTGTGGCCGGTACCGATCTTCATTGGAGTGTACCTCGCACCTGAGAGTCCGTGGTGGCTTGTTCGGAAGGACAGACGCGAAGACGCTATCAAGTCTGTGAAGCGGCTCACGCGCGTAGACCCCAACTTCAGCGCCGAGGAAACTGTCTCCATGATTGTGTATACGAATGCCATGGAGCAACAGACCGAGACTGGTGCTTCATACATGGACTGCTTTAAGGGGACTGACCTGCGACGCACGGAGATCGCGTGCTGTGTCTGGGCAGTGCAGAGTCTATGTGGTAGCGGTCTCATGGGCTACTCGACTGTCTTCTACCAGCGTGCGGGACTGGCGGACTCGCAGTCGTTTACGATGTCGCTGGCACAGTATGCGATTGGAGTTGTTGGTACGTTTTGCTCGTGGCTGTTTATGACGTACTTTGGTCGTCGCACGCTATATGTGGGTGGCCTGGCGATCTTGGGTGTTATCCTGTTTGTCATTGGATTTGTGTCCATTGCCCCGGCAACTACCTCGCTTTCGTGGGCTACGGGATCCATGTTGCTTGTGTATACATTCATCTATGATTCGACTATTGGACCGGTGTGTTTCTCGCTGGTTTCGGAGATGCCGTCGTCGAGACTTCGCACTAAGACGGTTGTGCTGGCGAGGAATACGTATAACGTGCTCAATCTGGTGACTGGTATTATTATTCCTTATATGCTGAATGTCGACGCATGGAATTGGAGAGGGAAGTCTGGATTCTTCTGGGGTGGACTGTGCATTGTCTGTTTTGTTTGGTCGTTCTTCAGACTTCCTGAGCCCAAGGGCCGCTCTTATGCTGAGTTGGATGTTCTGTTTGAGAACAAGGTGCGCACAAGGGAGTTCCCGTCTGCGAAGACTGGCTTGGTGCAGAGTGAGCTCGAGGGAGAGAAGGGCTTGGTTTGAAGTTAATATGCGAAGATATAATATCTGGAGGATTGGAAGTATGGCGAGATTGACATGTAGTATGGCACTTATCAGTGAAATGAATATTTTATCTTGTTATAACTGGATTCTGAGATCCTTGAATCCCTTGGAATGTATCGAGTAACTATCTAGGTAGAAACATGTATTCCGTGGGATCCGCCAGTGACTATGGAGCCCAAATGCTCAGTCATGACTTTATCAAAAGACTCACACGAGAACTGGTGTTTAATCTTGATGGGCAGCGAGTATATGGCATGACTTTCAGCAACTGGGTAATGCTGATGTCTCTCCATAGGTGTGCACGCATCATGTGATTGGGGACCCTCCGTTTGCGCTGTCTCATGTGGGCTACGGAGAGATGGCGGTCGAGAGGGTCGAGAGGAGTGAGGAGGGGAGAGGAAGAAGAGAAGAGGTGGAAGGGTGGGAGGGGGCCTTTTATACCCCCAACAACCCGTACCTTCCTAAAATGGATGGCCCTTTGCTCCTGCCTTTTTTTGTTTGTTCCTGCCTTTTTTACCTCTCTCGGGGTTGTTGTAGCAGGTGACCATGCGGAACCCTACTTTACATATTTCTTCCAAACTCAGGGCCCATTTTAAAAAGATTACCAATGAGAGAAAAGATGTAGCAGTAAAAGTAGTAATAACATAAGAATATCCCGTCAGGATTATAGCTGGCAGGAGCCCATACGAAGACCATTCTCTTATAACACTTCTAATTTGGGTAGGAAATGCTGTTCATACACAAAGGAATATTTGCAAAAATAAATAAGACAAGAAGCAGATGAGTATAATCATTAAACCAGGTATACGCCACCTATGACATTGAAACAAGGAAACAATTTTTGAGATCCCTAGTCAGAGACCGATATATCAGTTATCCACCAAGAACTTCATCCTGATACCCATAGCCGCCAACTCGACATCCAGGTACCGCAGGACACCAGGCACAGCAACGATGGTAACATTGTCACCACCGACGTAGCGGTGTCCATCGCCATCCTCCCACACCTCAGCACGGGAGTCATCGAAGGTAGCCTCACGGGCACAGCGACGACAACGTACAACACCATTGACACCACCCACAGCACCAATAGCAGCACCAGCATGAGCATTAGTGCTCTGCTGGTTAGGAGCAACCTTGGCAGCGGCAGCGGCAGCACCAGGGTTGATAGCAGTGCGGGAGCGGGATGAGCCGGAAACAGCAACCTGCGTAGACAGGAAGGAGCCACAACAGCGACAGATCCAGGTGTGCTGGGCGTCGGAGCAGTTCATGAGACGATCCTGCAGCAAGAAGGCCGCGCCGTGAGCAATGAGCGAATCACGCTCCATCTCTCCGACACGGATACCACCACCCTTCGCACGACCCTTCACGGGCTGGCCCGTGAGCGCGTTGACGGGACCAGTAGTACGCACTTGGAACTTGTCGTTCACCATGTGACGCAGACGCTGGTAGTAGACCAGGCCCATGTAGATGTCGGCCGAGAACTCGCGGCCCGTGACACCACTGTACAACGGCTCGTTACCGAAGTAGTTGTAGCCAGCTTTGCGGAGCTGCTCGCCGAAGTAGTCGGTTGCGGTGTTTTCTTCGGAGAATTGGAAGGGAGTGGAGTCTTGCGGGAGACCGTGCATGGCACCTGCTTTGCCGGCCATGGACTCGATCATTTGGGCGATTGTCATACCTGGGAATAAATGTTAGACGTGGGAATACATTTCATGTTAAGAGCAATAGGAGCTTACGGGATGGGAAAGCGTGAGGGTTGATGATCAGATCGGGCTGCATGCCGCTCTCGGAGAAGGGCATGTCGACCGCAGGCCAGAGTTGAGACAAAACACCCTTCTGACCGTGACGAGAGGAGAACTTGTCACCAATGACGGGCTTTCGGGGAATGCGGTACTTGACGCTGAGCGATTGAGCGGGCTCGTTGCCAGTCTCGGAACCCATAATGCGGATGCTGTCGACGTAACCTTCTTCGGCATCCTTGTATTTCATGTAGTGGGTGACTCCATCGACGTTAACGTACGAGTCGGAAGCGGGATCGAAGCGGACGTTGTGCCATGCAGCGATCTTGTCACCTTCCTTGACGCGAGCACCCAAGTGCGGCATTCCATCCTCGTCGATCACGTTGCGCACCTGCTCTTTGACCTCGTCGCCGGGGGCGAATCCAAACAGCTTGGTGATCTCACGCTTGGACTTGGTCCGGCGGGAGTCGTTATCGGCTAAAGTGACGACCTTGGTCTTGTAGACTGTACCGTGACCGAAGCCACGTTCGTGTGCGGACTTGTTGATAATCATAGCGTCGTCCATGTCGTAACCGGTGTAGGAGATAATAGCCACAACTGCGTTCATGCCGTTGGGGAAGTTGTCCAGACCGTAGGCGTTGTAGAGAGGTGGCCGCACAATTGGCGTTTGACCGGTTTGGATGCGGTACAACTTGTTATCGGTACGGTGGGCAATTGAGGTACCTGGCGTACCCATGGTTTGTTTGCTCATCTGACACTGGTACATGTTACGCGGAGATTGGTTGTAGTCGGAGAAGGGGGTCATGTTCGCGACGATAGAAAGGATGTTCGTGGGTGTGAACTCAATGTGGGTCGAAAGACCGGTGATCAGGTCAGATTCCACACAGGCAATCTCCATGAAGGGCTGCTCAAATGGTCCGACGTAATCCAGCTTATCCAGCGCCAGATACTTAACGGGGCGGTACATTCTCGCTGATTGGGAGAACATGTAGACACCTGGGTATTGACCGCCGCTTGAGTTGGGAATATATCCAATTTCCAATTCACGAGGGATGTTGTTTTTGCCTTCGACCTTCCAGTACCGGATGGTATCGGCGATTCTCTGGGCCTGCTTGGGCGAGCAGTAACCAATGATTCGGCCATCCAACTGGACGACCACGCTCTCGTCCAGAGCCACGGAAGACTCGGACTTGACACCAAGCTGGACCAGAGTCCGGGGCAGATGAGATACATCCAGGTTATCCGTAGAGATTAAACACTTGTGCGACAAATGGTTGAGCAGACCGCAAGGCGATCCATCAGGAGTGTGGACGGGGCAAAGGAAACCCCAACTTTCTGGTAGCAGTTTGCGGACAGTGGTAGTCTTCAACTGAGCGAAGAAACTACCACGGTGAATCATGCGGAAGTGACTGATGAAACGGTAGAAGTTGATCTTCTCTGCAATGACAGTGTAACCTGAAGTTTGTTGCAAATCAAGACCCGTAGGACTGACCAAGTTACCGGTGGAGAGGAAGTACTCGAGCGCATTACCAATATTCTCGTTTGACCGCTTAACGATCTTGGAGAGGAAGTCTCGTTCGAATGCTTCATCCGTGAACTTTGCGCCGTTGTTGCGGATGGACCAGTCTCGGGCAATGGGACCAAATGAACGGAGCCACTCCTCAATACGTTCCTTGAGAATCATTCCGTAAAGGAAGCCACCAAGCAGGATTTCTTGGTTGGAGACGGCATCGGGGTTGTCGGGAGCACAGTCTCCTGCGACTGTAGAGTAAAGCTTGCGGATCATGAAGGTGATCAACTTGAACTTGTCCCAGTCTTGAGTCTCGGTTACATTCTCATTTCCAAGATGGGGGAGAACAACCTTGCGGAGGAACTCTGTGCCAACTTCCTCGTCGGGCATATCAGCGGGGACTCCAAGCACAGGGCGGAAAGCCTTGCCCAGGTGGGACCGGCAATCGTACTGGCTGTGCTTCTGGTAAGCGTGGTAGGTTCTCAACAGAAGCTCAACACGGTCTGTGACGAAAGTGTTGTTCATCCCCTTGGAGGAAGCACCACCGACAATGGCCTCGAAGATCTCGCGGTCGTTGGTCTCGGTAAGGGCCTTGAGAATCATCATCACGGGGATAAGGTACTCATTCTTGCGCCATGAGAAGCGGAAGGTGACGTTTCCATCGGAGAGGTAGTGAAGCACGTTGGTCTGCGAAGTCTGATCGGGACGGACGGATCGTATTTGAACACCGAACTTTGTGTAAGTCTGACCACGCTTGACGAAAGAACCACGAATGATGGACATGGGGTAGTTGCGCTTGCCGACGACCAGCATACGAATGAGCTTCTCGTTACCGTTGACGATGTAGAAACCGCCCAGTTCCTCCGATTCTTCATTGTATCGAACAAGCTCATTGGGGGTAGCCTTCTCGAGGTGACACCGGTTGGTGCGCACCATAATTGGGACATTACCCAGCTCGCGGACAGACTCCATCCAGTCTCCATTGTTGACCTGGTACTCGAGGCGAGCGCGGAGCTTACCACGGTAGGTCGCGTGGCGCTCTCTGCATTCCGAGGGGTAGATTTCACGGTTTCGGGTGGTGTACTTGTTGGCGGGGGGCAGGGTAGGCTTTTCGAGGAAGATTTCACGCACGCGGACGTTCAAGCGATTCCGCTTCGGCGGGCGAACGCCTTCTGCTTGGCGAGCCTTCTTCTGCTCGTAGGTTTCAAGTTCACCATCGAGGAAGGTCTTGGTGCCGATATCCTTCAATCCTGCCTCCAGAATCTTGCTATCGTCGAAGAGAGCATTGAAGGAATCGATATGCGGTCGAATCGACTCGGCCAGCGATGGATAAGCCGTGTGATCCGTTGGGGGATTCTTGAACAGGTTCTCCCGGCGCACGGTGTCGTAATCGACTGACCACTGGGTTTCTGTGGCTGCGGGCGCCATGATGGGAATTCGCAGCTCTCAAAAGGCCGGTTGATGCGGTATTGAAAAAGAAAGACTGAACGGCACAATAGATGCGACCGTCAATGTAAAGATAAAAGCGCGACAGTATCGGTTCGATTCCTCCGCCCAAGATTATATCAGCCACTAGACCACAGGAATTGAACCGACAATGGCAGCTGCCAAACGAAGACGAGAGGTCTGTTCTGCTTGGGGAAATTTTTCGAGGGTGGAGCCGGATGCTTATCCTCACGTGGTGATATACATTGTGTGGCCTAAGGCCAACTTGAGGTTCATGTGCAAAAGTTCGAGGTTGCTTACAACAAAACATACTGAAACTCTAGTTCAACTGCAAGTTCCTGGCATTGCTCTTGAATTCCTTAATCCTGGTAAACCCTAGGTTAATTAAACTTGCAACACCAACGACTCAGAAATGTGGAAATGTTGTAACGCCACATGGGCGGGATATGCTGCACAACGCTGTTCACCTTCATTTTGAGGCCAATGGAGCCTAAGCGCCCTGGGGTCATGTGTGTAGGTAGATCGGTCAATTCTCCATAGAAAAATAGTCGATCCAATATCCTTGAACATCCTTTTCTATTGATATCTGCCGGCAATTATCCCCTTAAAATATCCCTCTAAGAATAGGCCTTTTTGAATTGTTGCTTCTAGGTTGATCTCTTGTTACGGTGTGACGATCTTGCTTTTTTTTATATTTTTTTATATTTTACTTTTCTTCTGTTTTTCCCTCTTTACCTTTTATCTCTTCATCAAATCCAGCAATCCAAGAATATCCAGAATATCCAGAAGATCAACCTGTTGCGCACTTACAAGGTTGACCCCACTCTCTGGCTTTTGTCATCCTGAGCT